GGAGGGGGGGGGAGGGGAGCGAGGGGGATGGATGGTAACGAAGGAGAATCATCATCGTTCGCGATGACGTGGAGAAAAATGCATCAGCGGCGAGTGGAAAAATCCATCGGGTCGAGGATGACAACTCGATCGGCGCGCACACTTCCTGAACCGGCCGGATCGTCTCCCTCTCGCTCCGCTCGTACGCGCCTTTCTCTCTCGCTCTCCTCTCTATCTGATCGCGCGCGCGAGCCGCGAGCATACAGAGGGTGGAGGAAAGAGAAGTAACGGCGGCGGTGGAGTAGAAGCGGGCACGAGGACAAGGCGGCCAGGAGGCGAGGAGAAGGACGCGTATGACGAGGAGCCGCGGCAGTCGGGCAGTCAAGGGGGCAGAGCAGGGGGGCCCATGCTAGTGAAGGGGGGTTGCGTGAAAGAGGAGAGATAGCTCTCGCGCGGCGTGAAGGCGGCGCGGGCGCGATTGGCCGCTTCCGCCGTGTCGCCCGTGCCGATTGGCGGGTCTGCCTTCCCCGGAATCGTGTTATTTCAATCGATATCTCTCTTCGAGTAGCCGCGGACGGATTTTTCGTTCGCCGCCGGCCGGTCTTATCAGCGCGCCTTTCCACCGCCGCGCGCGCGCTGGCGGCCTTTTTTTCTTTCTATCCCCCGTTTAGCTCACGCACGCACAGACGGCGGATGGAGAGACCAAGAAATCGCCGTGTCCCCCCTTTCGGAGCGGTTTACTTCGCGAGAGACGCCGCACGCTCGCGCAACGGCGCTGCGTCCGCGCTCCTGTATCCGGTCTTACCCGCGCGCGGCCAACCCCCGGTGCGTATAAAAAAATCTACCCGGGCGGAAAAAGTGATAGTTTCTTGACAGCCGTCGTGCACCGTCCCGTGGAATTGCCCGGAGACTCGTCGTCGCGCGGGCCCCTTGGTACCACATCCGCGAACCGTCCGGTCGCCGCCGTCGCGCGATCGCGCGCGCGCAGTGAACGAAAGTAGTACAATGTTGCGTTGCTGCCTCCGCATTCCAACTCGAATAGTAGCGAGAAATTTGTCGAAACGTGAAGAAACTTCGTGCCGAACGCGCCGATCGTTCAAGCTTGGACCACGTTAAGCGACGGAAAAAAATTGTTTCACTTACCGGAAACGTGAGAGCGACTGGGCGAGAAACGTCAGAGAAACAGCGACGCTAAATTCCATTGATTCTAAAAAAGAAAAAAAAAAATTGCAAGGATTAGAAGAATTCTCGGAATAAAAGTGCGGTGAGGAAATTGACAGGGAATCCTCTTCCTGATCGCAAGCTGCCGTTTGCGTTCGGCGCCAAGGACTTTGTTCGCGAGTGCAAGGCCGTGGCACGCGCTTACGCAACGATTCTCCACGATACCGTTGCGCAAAGGATGATGATCGGTCAAGCGCCGGGTCGATCGGAGTGAAGTCTGGTCCATCGACGAGCACGCCGCGGCGGGTCCACGGACTGCTTCTCGATAGTTAACGAAGAAATTCGACGTTCTTTATGTCGGTTTGTTACTGACGTAACATTCATGGAGCGCGCGAAGATTAATTGGTCGATCCGGAAAGTAATCGCGGCCGACAACGGCCGATATCATTCACACGCGTCATAATAAACAAAAGGGAGAAACCATGGGATTCCGCAAACGCACGCGGAGGCAATTGCTATCGTTCCTTCACGCAGCGATTTCCCCATTTTCGATTACGTAAGGCCCCGTCGATCGGGGAGGCCTCGCCCGCTGAAACGTGAAATGCGCACAATGAGAAGCCGTCGTCGCTTTGGGAAAGAGATTAACGGGCGAGATTGATCGAAACAATGCTTCGATCGAAGAGCGAAGCCACCACTATACTACATTCCGCGCACCACATCGAATATTACGCGAGCATAACGGTCAACAGTCTGTGTTCAGCTAGTCAGAGATCGAGATTCCACGATCGTCCATAAGGATCTCAACTGCGAGGTCCATTCTAGTCGTACATTCTTCCTCAACGTCACCGCGACGTCACCCCTTTGTGAAAAACCAGTCTCTGTGAACTTTGTAATAATAGTAATTCACGTGTGAACTCATTTCGCCGCGCATATGTTTTGTTAATTGCGACGCGAACTTGGTGGTCAAGCGTGACGATCGGCGAACGGTATTTTCATCCGTCGAGCAACGAGACATTCTCGCGCGCGGTCGAGCTCCGTACGTCGCTTTAAATTCCGCAGCGTATCGGAGAGAGATCGAAGGGCGCGCGAGCGCTCGCGATCATGCCAGCAGTGTCGGGGCCCTTCGTGTCGTCGTCGCGCGCGGATCGGGGCGGGTGGGACTCTTCAGGTTGCGTGCTCGAGATTCTTCCCTGAAGATGTATGGCACCAATGAAAGCCACGGGCCGAACCACGGGCCTTGGACACCGTCCCCCGCGCCCCAACCGCTCCCGCCGCAAGCCCAGCATCAAAACCATCCCCGACCTCACCCCCACAACCATCCGCCGAGCCACCCGCCGTACGTACCGCCGGCGTATCAGCATCCTCATCACCATTTGCCGCCCCAGGTAATTATTGATGGATATATTCCACGGCTAGTTTGAGGCCGGGAATCGAAAATTCGCGTCAGAAGCGAGTGACCACGTGGCGGCGGAAAAAAAACTCGTCCCCGCGGGTGCGTTCGTCACGCGCGTTAATTAAACACTTACGGCAGCGAATCTAATAAACGTTGCGACGCCTCCAAATATCTAAGAAGAATGTCTAAGGAACAATGAAAAGGAATCTTTTATCTTCTTTATATATGTCTCTTAATAACAATAATGATGCTGAGAGTGTGATAATATCGCCTGGGAAAAGTTTGAGTCAATTTCAGCCGACCCAGTCCAAGAAGTGTTACGGTTTCCTTAGCAAGTTGACAATTGAAAGGGGGAGACTATACACGATAAGAAATTGCGGACGTAGATGGTGTATAACTGTCTTTGCACGTAGTATGTACTTCGCTCGTTCGCTCAATCCGACGATTAATCACGAAGTGGAAACCACTACCTGATGACCGCTTATTAAATTACCGACGTGATTCGAATTATGGTTATACCCGCGAGAGTGTCTTTACCCATCTGCTAACCGAGGGTGTTAGCCCGACAATTGTCGCACGATCAAAACGCAAACCTCATATCTAGCAATTGCAATTTTCGATCGTTCGAGTCTCTCGTCTTTAAGATAAGATAAGCGTCGTGAAGACCACTCGACGGAATAAGCATTCGAATACTTTCGAAAATAACGTGACAGCGGCGGCCGAAAACGCTCGTTAATAGTTAACGGTTTCAAGAAGCCGCGCTAAAAATGACCGTTGCATATTTGATCGCTCTCGTGGAAGTTGGCGCGGCTCGCTCGCGTCGGAGGCGAAACTTTCGGATTGAAATTATTTTTCGCAAGTCGCGTCGGAGCAGACGTCCTGCTTTCCGACGCGTTGCCGCTCCCGATTAATTTCTCCGTGAAAATTACGAACCCGTGTCGAAATGCAGGTGTATAAATTCACCATCGAGAAATTCGAGCCAAGTCAAATATAGCATTACTCTATCGACGTCAAGACAAGACTGGCAAGGCTGATCGATCATTGATAGACTTTCGCCCGAACGTCAATGCTCGCTCGGCGGATCTCACTCTTGACATTGGATTAGCTATCCGCCGACGCACATTAACAACATCGACAGTCCGCTATCGCGCGATCTTGCGGCCCGCCCTTTTTCTTTTTTTTTCTTTTTCTTTGCCGGCCTGCCCCCGCACAAGCCGCAGGATAATGACTACCTTTCGGCGTTCTTAATTTCGACGTGCAGCGTCGTATTATTTGATCCTATCCGCCGTCGAAACAGGAAGCCCGATTTTGCCTACCGTAGTAGAAAGAAACAAAAAGAGAGAGAGAGAGATATATATCTTGGTGCCTAAAGCGGTATTGAAATCTTGTTTTCCGAAAGATTTAGTAAGTTCTCTTCGCTCGTTAATATACTTATAAAATCGCGTTGTTTTTTCGTCTTTTCTCTTTTTTTTATGAAATAATCAAGTTTGTATATAATTGTAGAAAAGTGTCTAATTACAGTAATTTTCTAGAAGTTATTATAAAACCGTTGGGAATAATAGGCGATACTCCGTAGTTTGACTTGAACCGTCTGCAATGAAATGACTCTAACATTAGGCAGATGCGAGAAATAGAGCGACAAGGCGCGTCAAAGGACCGGTTCCGCAGAAATCAAATCATCAGGTCGTCCTTTTCGCGCAGCTGATCGACGACTGATTGTCCGCTCGCCAACCGGAAACGGACAACATACACCTCGCGGAGAGGATCAACGTGCAACGATTCAGACGGATTGAAGCCGACAATTACAGGGAGTCGGGGGGGTGGCTTTCTCCCTTTTCCTTTATATTACAGTACACACTGTCCGCGGTGGATAGGTGGGTAGGTGGGTCCGCGAATGAGTCAGGTCATGCTAGGTTAGATTGGACGTTGTCTTCGTGCGCGTATGCGTCCGCGTATGCACACAACGTGCAGACACACGCACACACCGTGGCAACGCTATACCATATGTGAGCCGCTGCATGGCCAGCGTGCGTGGGTGGACGGAGGGCGCCGCGTGTCCGTGTATACGTACAGAGTGCGCGCGTGGAGAGAAGGCATATGGTCAGCAGGTGAGACCTTTGCTTTGTATTCCAAGTGTATAAAGTAGCCCACTTCGAGTGGCCCGACGTTACTCACGAACGTAACTCACGGTAAGAGAGGAGGGAAAAAGAAGGGAAAAAAAAGAGAAGAAGAAGAAGGGTTATGCGTCGGCTCCTCCTGAAATGCTAACGATCCCTTCGAGCGTCAGCATCAGACGGAGAGACCTGCCGATGTCGAGGCGTGCGAGCCGTCCGTCGCGATTCGAACAGCCGGGGAAACGGGATCGTGCATTTTTCAAAGCGACAAGTCCCGCGACGAGCCTCTCGTCGGCGCAACTGTGTCAAAGATGATACGCCGGAAGAAAACAGACGCGAATAAAACGCAGGACAGTCCCTTCATTACGCATTAATAAATCACGCGCGGACGGAAAATATTCACCGCTCTCTTCTTGTAAGAGCTAGATTTCACTGCATTGGGGAAGGAATGCGGATAGGATTTAATGAGCGCGATCCGAGAGTTAATAAAAAATAGCGGGCAGAAGGACGACAGACATAAAAATTAGAATATCGCGGAGTCGCAAGGGATGAGGACGAGCGAGGAGAGTAGAATCGGGACGAAAGACGCTCCTAAGGAAATACAGTGGGTGTCATTTGATATATTTTTCCATTATTAAGGACATTAAGCCGGCGGCCCGCGGGCCAACTCTTTCCGCTTTCTTCTTCCTCTTTACATTTCTCTTCGCGGGCCCCGGCGCGACCGCGACTTCTCTCTCTCTTTTTTTTTCCCGCGGCTGGCGACGGCGATAAATCAGAAAAAAAGATTCAAACCACCAGTATGGTCGGGCGTCGGGACGCAATTTTCCGTCTGCCAGGAGATAAAAATTTGATTAATGACCGCGTAGTCTTGAAATTTAAAGAAAGGCGCGGCATCTTCGCCAAACTCCGTCGAAAAACTTCCACCGAGAATAATAGCCGACATTGTTCGTATGTCGATGCTGCCGAAGTCCTATGACTATCTTAATCCTCGAAAATCATTAAAAAATTATAATGTCGTTTCCACACGATTTAATTATATAATTTAATGTATAATAATCTATTCAAAACTAAGGAGTTTTTATCAAAGCTATTTGAATCTTTACAAATAACTTTAATATCTTTGCATATTTCATTTTATACGACGTAAAAATGTGCGAAGAATCCGATAATAATCAACACACAAATATACGAGACGATCGGCGAAACGTCTTCTTTATGTCCGAAGTTTAAAGAAATCTCGAAGGGCTACTCAAGACAGTCGTTAAAAATTCGCGACGCGACTCTGGCGTCAAATCGTTTTTCACGAACCCTTCTGTCACTCCCAACCCCGGTTAATCATCGTGAAAGTTCGTTCACGAGGGGCAAAGGATTCAAAGAGAGAAACCTATGTTTTGGCAAGCAATTACTAATATCTTCAAAATATTAAACAAACAAATTGAAATTATGCCATCGAAGAATATAAAAATATATTCGATAGTTATTTCTATTTTATCTGCACTTTTTCCATTCAAAGCAGCTATATTTAACCCGCGCGTCGCAGAGTGTGAAATTAATTTTTATTTTTTTCTCTCTCTAAAAACAACGTTCTATAAAAATAACGTTCTATAAAAAATTTAGCGAATATTTATAAAAAAAAGCTAGCCTACAAGAGAATAGAATTGACAAATAAATCTGCAACATACGTATAAATTTTCTCACTTAATGTTATTTACTGCAAATCAGTAGCAATAATCTTTAATATACATATCTTGTACACGTGTATCCCGATGCTCGCTCGGCTATCGGCCCACCCATTCGTACATCGATTAAACGAAAGCATCGCCGTTCGTAACCTTTCCCCCCTGAGTGCCGCAAAACAGGAGCAATTTCATTCAAATCGGCGACGAACAACAGCCGGCCGACCGTGTCCGGGCGGAGGTAGAAAAAGGCGAGGAAAAGGCGCGGAATAAAATCGCGCCGGGCAGCCGTCTCCCACGAGGATTAAAGAGTCCAGGGATGCCCAGCGAGTGCGCGCCCGGGATCGTCGTCGCCCGTCAAGTATCCGCAGTCACGTCGAACCAGGAAGGGGGGGGGGAGCAGAAAAAGGGTTGAACTCGCGGAAACTTGAGAACCCCCGGTGACAATTTCAATTCTCTCTGTCTCGCCCGACCGCCCCTCCTCCTCCTCCTCTCCTCTCTCTTTCTCTCTCGCTCGCGGAGCTCCTTTCGTCGCGAAAGGGGTGACCTAAGATTCTTAAAACTTCTCACGAGATTTTTCGATTTTAATTACAGTTTTAACATATTTTAATAAAATCCTCCGCCGTCTTCGCGAGTCCATCCACCCGGCTCCGCCGTACCTCCGCGTTCTCTTTAATTCCGCCAACTTTCGGCCCCTCCCCCCTCCTCGCGCTGAATCCCGCTCGCCCGATCATTCTTGCCGCGGACTGTACAGCCTTAACGTTAACCCTTTCGTTCGTTCACCTACACCCACACCCGCGTTCGCGGCGCAACACCTGTTCCCCGAACGAGGAGAACCCGAAATTGGACGCTCCTCCGCCGGTTACGCGGCCCGATCCGCCGCTCTATCAGTTTCGGTTCTTCCTCGCGGCGCTCAGGAAGAACCGGAGTAGTGATTGAGCCGCCCTCGTATGCACCGTGCGAGCGCGATTTTTCGACCGGTCCGCTTCAAGATTCACACGGTATCGGGATGAATGGAAGCGGGGCCGATAAACTGTAAGCATCTGAATGACAGAGTGATTGTCTGCAAAGTCTGACAAGCGCGAGACATTAATTAACACGCGATAAGGCAAACATCAACATTAACTCTAAACACACGTGAGCGTGCGCTGTAGACGTACTATAACGTGCTGCAGGAATTCTACGTGTAAATTTCTCAGTCGTCGTGTTTACACACGTGTGCTACAACGATATCGCGGCAGCGGTTTCGAGCGAGTTAAGCTAGAAATTTCACATCATGCTTTTGGTCCCAAAATCGCAGGTTTGTAGTATCGGTCAGTGGGTCAAGTTGTACCGCACCTCCGTTCCGCAATCATAAACGTTGGCTTTCGGCCTCGCAGTACCACGACCTTGGTAACTTCTAATCGCCAAGTTCAACCACTAATACGACTCGAGTTCAGAGTGATATAACGCCGCAATAGGATTTCGCGTGCCATCTCTCGACTTGTAACAGTTATAAATTAATTTTGACATAGCAACGAAAATACGAGGATTGATCGAACTGTGCGCGTTCTGAAATTTATGCCGAAACCGAGAAGAGAAATCCAACACCTTGGAACAATATTTTTCTTCGATCGTTAAAAATGATTTCGATATTCTTGCCATTCCTTTATTCTATTTATTTGAAAGTTTCAATTTAAATATACGATTTTCATCAGCTTTGGTTTTATCAAATAAATTATAGCATTATTTTCTCTGTCGACAAAAATAACAATAAATCAGATTCCAGGGTGAGATATTTCGTCTTGACGATACTTAGCCTCATTCATACTTAATCATCAATAAAGTATTATTGATAATTAAATAATGCACTTTTGCAAAATAATCGTAGAAGGCGAGGTAAGGCGTCTTCGGTTTCGGCAATGCAAAACCGATGGCGATCGACCAGCAAGCATACACGGCGGTCAGGGTCGATTTGCCATCCTCCGTTGCGCGACGAAAAGTACAGCGTACCAACTAACCCCGGCAGTTCTTCTCGCAGATCTTCATGCACAAGAGCGCGATGCAGATGCACGCAAGGGAGCTGGGCGCGGGTGCACTGGGGGGAAGGCCCGGCGGCGGCGTCGCCGGCGGTCTGGCCGGTCTCGGCGTCGGTGTCGGCGTCGGACCGGGTGGCATGATCGGCGGCAACGAGGTTAAGCCGCACCAGTGCCAGCAGTGCCTCAAGTCGTTCTCCAGCAACCATCAGCTCGTGCAGCACATCAGGGTCCACACCGGCGAGAAGCCATACAAGTGCAGCTACTGTGACCGCAGGTTCAAGCAGCTCAGCCACGTACAGCAGCACACACGATTGCATACGGGTGAGTGAATTTTCTCGCATGCATTACGATGTTGAGCGTCGATGAAAGAAACTTTTTCCCCTCGATTACGCTCTCGATTAAAATCGGCCGCCGCGTAATCAGCACCGCCCCGGTAAATTAATGCAGAATAATACGCGTTAAGCCCTGGTACCCCACCACACCGCACGCCCAGGGCTCGTCCGCCGTTATAGAATCGCGCCGAGTTATTGGTCAATAAATTAGTGCACGAATATATATTGCTGTTATAGTAAATTCTATGAATTCTATATCGCCCGGGCTATAGCCAATAATCAATAAATTAATATGCAGTTATTGTCTGTACGGGCAATCATGCGTCCCGATTGTGACTAAACTTCAATGCGCACCGGTGCGAAATTGCTTTGTGCATGCAACATGCGCGCAAGTAAAATATTTCTACGCCACGGTGGATTTGGCTGAACGAACGAACGAACGAACGAACGAACGAATGCACGCACGCATCTCTTCGCTCTGCTGCTCTTTCGCGCCCCGCGAGGCTTTCGATATTCAGATAACGCTGCATCCGCGAGCCGCGTACAAGACGGCTCACGACTAAAATAACATCGACCAGGCCGGACCGGGCACGAAGGATTTGCAATAATGAGAAAACCCGATCTGGCTGCAAAGGCAATGGGTCGCGTCCGGGTAGAAAGAATTTCATTAAGGGATGAACGTAGTCACTCGGAAGGTATTAGCCTCGCAAGCGAACGGTCAGCGCGCGCACGACTACTAGACCCTTGGAAAAATCTCGTTGACCTTAACGAAGATTTGCTTTACCGGGGCAACGAAAAAAAACGAGAGAGAGAGAGAGAGAGAGAGAGAAAGAGGAAGACGCGCCGTGTCGGGTATTTGAGCTATTTAATCGAATCGTCCGAGAGTCGGTGCGGAGCGAAAGAAAGATACGAGAAAGATACGAGACCCTAAGTAACAATCGATCCGAGGAGAAGCTCGTCGTCGACAAAGTAAACGGATCCCCGTTTCGACGCTGTAATGAATCGTCGCTCTTAAACTTTTGTCAACGCGAATAGCAAAGAGAGCGTCGCGCGAATTCGCAGTGTGTCTCCGCCCGACGTGCATTTCAACGCACGCTCGATCGGAGAAGTGGTTTATAAAAGCCGACGTGCCGCGGAGATTTGACGAGAATATCCAGCGTAACCTGGTTTTCCTTATCTTTTTATTTTCACACCGCGCCGCGCCACTTTGGCCACGATGTCTACCTTTTCTTAACCGTAAATAGCGACGAAAGAAGGACTCGCATTGATTTTAGTCGGCCCATCTCTCGACCTCCCGTCTTCTCACTCTCGGCTTCTCTCTCTCTCTCTCTCTCTCTCTCTGTTTCTCGCCCTCTGTTGCGACCACCCACGGCCAAATAACTACTGCTCAGCCACCCCTTACATTAATAACCGCCCTTCCCCACATATCCCACCCTTCGTCATCATCCTCCTCCGTAGGGTGGTGCTCGAGTTGGGCGTGTATGCACGCGTATGTACGGAGAGGGTCGCTTTGGATTTCCACACTTCTATCGATAAAATGTTTTAAATGCACCCGTATGCAGGCCCCCCTTTTTCCCCTTCCCAAGTCCCCCCTCGACTTTGGTTGCATCGAGGTAGAGGGTGCAAAACTTGCAGCGGTATCTCGTGACGAGCTGCGAGCGCTCGAGTCGAGTTTAGCCGTGAATCGAAATATTTCTATTTTTGAACGTCTTAAGGAGAAACGATTGGAACGGTGCAAAATTTATATCCATACAGCATGCAGACTTAAGAAATTAGCTAACTGGTAATCATAAATCTCGCTTCTACAGTACAAACAAGCCGCTGATTATTTCCATTAGTCGATCTTAATTAATCGCAATTTTACCATTCTATATTTCTATCGTTTTTTCATTAGTGATGCGATTCGAAATAATGTAGAAGACGTCAAGCAAAGTGGAGCGCAAAAATATCCAAAGTTTTGTCTGTTCGTTACATCGCGTCTCTCGTTGCATAAAATAATGCGCTTGACAATCGATATGTATCGCGACTACCAATTCTCTGCTAATTTTAATTTCATAGTTTTAAATATTTTATTTAAATAAAACGAATTCTGCCACATACATGCGTAAATGTTGTATTTACATATAAAAATCGGTAAAATAATCGCGCGACGCTGGTAGTGGCTAATTAATGTCGAGGCAACGCGAATACAAAGCGGCATGCTCGCAAACCGCGCGCATTTTTGCAACGAAACAATCCGGTTATAGCGTTTGCACCACGTATTGATTTCTCATTTCGATGAAATTCTGGCGCGGCGGGGCACGCGGCGATTGGTCGTTCGCGTTCAAAAATCGGCGGGAATTTGCCGGCATGCCGACGTGCCCCCTTCTTCCTCCTCCCCCCCTCGTTCCAATGCTCCGCAAATATGCACACGAGTTACATCGTTCGCGTTCGCTTATATATGCACACGCGCCTCTATATATTATACATATAATTCATTAACCGAAATTCGCGAGAACGCGCAGCGCCGGTAAAACGCGCGTAGTGGGGGGAGCGAAACGAAAGAACGGGGTCGTAGGAGGGAGACAGGGCGGCACGGAGAATATAATATCGACGAGTGTCCACGATATCGATAGCCGGTCAATATCTGTAGCCTAGACAAATACCTGGCGAGGGTGCAGGGTGCAAGGGAGAGAGAGAACGAGAACGAGAGGGAGAGCGGAGTCCATTCCACCCCCTCTCGGACCAGCGGCGCGCAAGGATGACCAAACGGCCGGGCCAATGAGGGTTCGGCTCGCCCCACCGGGGTGAACGCGTGCGAAAAAGCGCGGGAATTTTTCGATCGTCCGATCGCTCAATAATGGAACCGAAGTTACGCGCCGCTACCGTCGCAAGCGCGCACGACCGCGCGAGCGCGTGAACGCGATTGTACATATGTATATACATATATATATATATAGATATATATATATATATATATATATTA